TGATTCAGAGCTAGGGCAGTGCCTCTGAGCTGCATTTCCAATAAGCTCTCAGGTGATGCTGATTCTGATTCAGGGCTCATTTCTTGAGAACCACTGGTCTAGATTATAATTTGTCTTTATACTGTCAGCCTGATGGAAGTTTCTCTCAATAGCTATTGTTGGGCTTTTCCAGCCCTGCCTCACCCTGGAGGTAGGACCACATGCTCCTCTCAGTGCAGACCTTGTGTACTTATTATATCCTGAGATACAAAATATTAGGCTCCATGTGTTTTACTTGTGACTGGATCCTGGGCTTCAGAAGAAAAACAATGATGCCGTGGATTCTAGCAACTGGAGGGTTAGCCAGAGTGGCTATAGGAACTAATTTTTAAAAATTAATTACTTTTTAAATTATGGCTGCATGGGCTCTTCATCGCCTTGCAGAGGCTTCTTTAATGGGGGCGTGGGCTTACTTGTCCTGAGGCTTGTGGGATCTTAGTGCCCTGACCAGGGATTGAACCTGTGTCCCCTACACAGAAAGGCACATTCTTAACCACTGGACTCCCAGGGAAGTTCCCCAGGAACTCATTTTTTTTTTTTTAACTTTTAAGCCAGAGTCTTGATTCTGATGTCTCCACCCAGGTGGAGGAGGAAGTGAAGGATCTTTGGTTTCAGGACAGGGACTCAAGCTCAAAACCAGGCTGCAGGAGGACGTGGAACCAGGAGCTTTATTTTTGCTGCCTGAGAGAGGTGTTCAGTCCTAGGACACAGCCCTGTGTATGGATAGGTAAGTCCAGTTTCCAGGCGATCCATACGGTGTTTCTGTGAAATGACGTGTTTTGGTCCAGTGGGGTCCCAGCCCTGGTGAAAGCTTGTCTGGGGACATACCTGTTCACTTTCTACTTCACATGATCCAGTGGAGTTGTTTGGATTAAGCACGCTTGATGCTTGCTCTCATGGGGGAAAAAGTATATTTATCAGGGTGCAGGGGATTTTTAAAATTATTTTTAATTGTAGTAAAATACATATAAAATTTACTGTCTTACTGTATGGATCACAATAAACTGTGAAAAATTCTGAAAGAGATGGGCATACCAGACCACCTGACCTGCCTCTTGAGAAACCTGTATGCAGGTCAGGAAGCAACAGTTAGAACTGGACATAGAACATCAGACTGGTTCCAAATAGGAAAAGGAGTACGTCAAGGCTGTATATTGTGACCCTGCTTATTTAACTTATATGCAGAGTACATCATGAGAAACGCTGGGCTGGAAGAAGCACAAGCTGGAATCCAGATTGCCGGGAGAAATATCAATAACCTCAGATATGTAGATGACACCACCCTTATGGCAGAAAGTGAAGAAGAACTAAAGAGCCTCTTGATAAAAGTGAAAGAAGAGAGTGAAAAAGTTGGCTTAAAGCTCAACATTCAGAAAACTAAGATCATGGCATCTGGTCCCATCACTTCATGGCAAATAGGTGGGGAAACAGTGGAAACAGTGGCTGACTTTATTTTTCTGGGCTCCAAAATCACTGCAGATGGTGATTGCAGCCATGAAATTAAAAGACGCTTACTCCTTGGAAGGAAAGTTATGACCAACCTAGACAGCATATTAAAAAGCGGAGGCTACTTTGTGAACAAAGGTCCGTCTAGTCAAGGCTATGGTTTTTCCAGTGGTCATGTATGGATGTGAGAGTTGGACTATAAAGAAAGCTGAGCGCAGAAGAATTGATGCTTTTGAGCTGAGGAAAAGAGGAGAAGACTCTTGAGAGTCCCTTGGACTGCAAGGAGATCTAACCAGTCCCTCCTAAAGGAGATCAGTCCTGGGTGTTCATTGGAAGGACTTATGTTGAGGCTGAAACTCCAATACTTTGGCCACCTAATGCGAAGAGTTAACTTATTGGAAAAGACCCTGATGCTGGGAAAGTTTGAGGGCAGGAGAAGGGGACGACAGAGGATGAGATGGTTGGATGGCATCATCGACTTGATGGGCATGAGTTCAGGTGGACTCCGGGAGTTGGTGATGGACAGGGAGGCCTGGTGTGCTGTGGTTTATGGGGTCACAAAGAGTCGGACACAACTGAGCAACTGAACAGAACTGAACTGAACTGTCTTACAGTTATTTTAAATGATATGCCTCAGTGGTATTAAGAACATTCGCATTTTTGTGCAACCATCCCCAGTATCCATCTCTAGAACTCTTTGCATTTTGCACAACTGAAATTTCACACCCATTACACAATAACTTCCCATTTCCTCCTTCCCCAGCTCCTGGCAACCATGATTCTCCTGACAATTCCAGGTACCTAACATATATGGATTCATACAGTATTTGTGTTTTTGTGAGTGACATTTCCCTTTGCCTAACATCCCCTAAGTTCATCCTTGTTCTAGCATATGTTGGAATTTCCTTGTAAGACTGAATAATATACCATTGTATGTATATTCCACATTTTATTTACCCATTCATCTGTTGATAGATGCTTGGGTTGCTCCCACCCTTGACTACTGTGAAAAATGTTGCGTGAATTTGGCTGCTCGAATACCTGTTTGAGTCACTGCTTTCAATCCTTTTGGTTATATAGCTAGAAATGAAGCTGCTAGATCATTTCATTTTTTAAATTTTTTGGAGCAAACTGTCTATTTTTTTTTGAGCAAACATCATCCTGTTTTCCATAGTGATGGTATCATCTTGTATTCCCACCAACAGTGCACAGGGGAACTTATTCCAGTAGATGAGGACTTTGTTCTGAGGCTGTTTCTTTGGGCTGACTTGTTTTTGTTGGACTTCCGGTATAGCCCCTTGTCCCGGAGAAGGCCGGGGAGCTGAGATGGGTTCATCTGTTCATCCTGGCAGCGAACAAACGAGGATAGCTGAGGAAAGTTGAATACAGGGATAATCCAACATAGACAAGAATAGGGTTAGGGAAACCAATGAAAGATGAAGAATCCAGGGCTCAGCAATGGGGGGAGGAAGCCTCGAGCCTCTAGAGTGGGGGCATAATTGTTTTTTTTTTAATGGAACATTTCTGAGATATTAATATGTCACATAATATAATAAAACAGCAATAGTTGCCATAATCCTGGTGCCCAGGTATCTTCTGATGATATTAGAATAAAGGTCATTAAGGCATCTAAGCTAGAAAATTCAGAGAACTCTTTTCTCAACGGTAAACATTAAAAAAAATTTCTTGTGTATCCTTGCAGAAAAACATGCAGCTATGTCTCTCTGTGTGAACATACAACAGATGTATATATATATTTTTATGGTAAAAGGATCAAACTATACAGACTTGTCCATATCCGTCCCCTTCAACTAAATAGTATTTCTGGGAGATTCCTCTATCCCAGAATAACTACTTCATTCTTTTAAAGTCCTCACAGTATCCATTGAATAGATAGTATCATCATTGAGGTCTCATTAGCTTCTTAAATGGTGTTTTAGGAGCACCTTTGAATGCGAAATGAAAACAATGACATCAGTGGGAAAAGTCCAGGTGGCAGGTGAAGAATGAGAAAAAAAACAAAGGAAGAACTAGAAGCAACCTAGAGAAGTCAAAATGCGGAAGACCGGAAGAAGTGACCTGCCTTACCTGAGACGGCACTTGGCTTTCACTTCTGAGAGTAGGTATGTTGAATTTTGTGGGGGGAAAAAATGATTATAAAAGTGCCAGGAGGGATTTGAACTAGGATCAGAAGGACCAGAGGGAGAGGGAATCTTGGCAGCAGCCGCTAATATTTACCAGACTCGAGGAGCACATAGGGAGAACAGGCCATCTGGACAACAGCTACGTTTGTAAAGTTAAGAAGCAAGAAAAACACGTGGGGCATCTTCTCGGTGGGAATGGAGAGGGAGGCTCTGCAATCGAGAGTTCGGGAGCGAGTGCGGCTGCGGAGACTGGAGACCGTCGCTGCTAGGCCTGTGGGGCGAGAGATTCAGCGTGGATGGCGGCCTTAAGGAAAGGAGGAAGAGATAGGGTTTGTAGCCAAGGGGAGAGACAACTTAATTTGGGGTTCGTCTAGGGAGTTTAGGTTAATACCAGTGTGTGTGTATCTGCACACACACACACATGCCAATGTTTTCATTTATTTATCTATCAATTTAAATGAAATTTAAAAAATTGAAGTATAGTTGATTTACAATGTTGTGCTAAATTCAGATGTACAGCAAAGTGATTCAGTCACACACACACACACACACACACATATATATATATATATATATACATATTCTCTTCCAGATTATTTTCCCTTAGAGGTTATTCCCAGATATTGACTAGAGTTCGATGTGCGGTACAGTAGGTCCTTGTTGGTTATATGTAGTAATATGAATAAGTTAATCCCAAACTTCTAATTTATCCTCCTCACCCACATTTCGTTTTTAAAGAAAGGCAGGGAAAGGAATGGTCACAGAGCAAATTAAAAATGCCTCCTCCTAGAAGTGACTACTCTGTGAGGTACGTAGGAGAGTTATGATTCCTGATTTTGCCCACCCAATGTTCTGTAAAGTAGCTTTTATATCCTTCACTCAAATTAAGGACACTGGGGGTCTGGGGCGTTGACGGACACTGGAACTCAAGCCTGTTTGCCTTCCAAGCCCCGGTTTTGCCCTCAGGGCCAGATTATCATGAAGTCTTTGAATATGTTGTGGCAACCTATTGGAAAGGGCTTCCCTGGTGGCTCAGTGGTAAAGAATCTGCCTGCAATGCCGGAGACCCGGGTTCGCTCCCTGGGTCAGGAAGATACCCTGGAGGACGGCATGGCGACCCACTCTAGTATTCTTGCCTGGAGAATCCCATGGACAGAGGGGCCTGGCAGGATGTAGTCCACAGGGTCAGACGTGACTGAGGCGACTAAGCTGCAGCAACAGCATTAAAAGGAGCAGGGGTCTGCTATTTGGGTAGATTATTACGTGGGGACCAGGCTGGGCATCTAAAGGGAAGGGAAGACAATCCTGATTACTCATCGTGTGTGTGTGTGTGTGTGTGTGTGTGTGTGTGTGTGTGTTTCTGGAGAGTAGCCCACTGACTCTAGGTTGAAGAGGCGTTCGGGATACGAAGCACATGGTGGGAGCCGTCCCCGAGAAGCAGATGGAGAGCTAGATTTGGGGTACGGTGAAGATTTGCCTGGAGAGAGCACTGAGCTCTGTGTGGTAAGGACACAGCTTGGAAGATCTCTCAGTGATCAGAGGTGGGCGTGGTTGAGGCATCGAAACGGGTCAGGGAGCCAGATTTGAAAAACAGAACAAAAATATTAGCCAAAACGTGTTTAGGAAAAGGGAGCTTCTGGTGAAAAGGGGGAAGGAAGAGGAGCCTCTCAAGGGACCTGATAGGGTTTGGAGGCAGGATGTTGAGAGTCCAGAAATAACACATCAAGAAATGCCAGAGGGGTTTAGTGCAGGTCAGAAGGGGTCTGGCAGCAGGGTGAAGGTCAGCGAGCAAAGCCCTGTAATTGAGGGAGGGCTCGAGCTGGTGGGATCCACTGTAAATGGGAACCACCCTCCTTTCTGTTTGAGCGCTGCTCAGATTCCCAATGCAACGCCCGTCCACACCTCCCCACATATGGAGACTCTGGAGAGGAATGGAGGGCCTAAAATGTTTGAAGTTGTACAAAATCACTTCCATGTGGAAACGTAGCAGAATACATTATTTAAACTTAATAAGAGACATCAGAGGGGGAACACTGACAACTGTTTTCGGGTATATCACGGTTTATGAAATAAAGCTTGCTGACAGAACTGGCCATGTCCATTAAGCAGACACCGGAGAGAAAGGGCCAAACCTCATACGTAGAATCTGATCGCTCAGAAGAAGGGGGCCCCTCTCAATGGTGGCGTTTCCATCTGAAGGGGAACGGTGGAAACTCATTCTACGGAGAACATGATTGCGCTTCAAACAAGAAATATTTTCAGCTCACTTGAGCTCTATAGGAAAGTTGTAATAATCCCTCTTTTTTGACTTCTTTAGAGTTTGGCCAGGTTGTGAAGGTGCAAACCTATTCAACTGTATTTAGAAGGAAGGTACTTGGAGACAGTGAGTTCCGCTCATTTAGAATCGGTAATTATCAGAAATCCCGAAGGGGAGTCTGTTCAGGCAGGGTCTCTCTGCAAATTCATATGAATATTAATTTTTGTGTGTGGCAATTAGGACAAAGCTTGCTCTTCTGAACCAAACCTGCAGAGCCCCCAAGGTTCACTTTCAACTCATGTGGGTTATTTCTCTCTCATGGTGGCCACTTTCTGGAAGATCTATTTTGCAAGAACGAAATAATCATGAATATCAGTCAACCCTTTAAGGAAGAGCATGTGTCTATGTTAAAATAAGATATTTACATTCTGTTATTTATATCTCTCACATTTTTTATAATTAAAAAATTAAGTTTATTCCATTGTAAGAGCACTGCCTGTTCCGTGGGCTTACCTGGTGGCAAAGGCAGTAAAGAATCTGCCTGCAACGTAGGAGATCCAGGTTCGAGCCCTGGGTCAGGAATATACCCTAGAATAGGGAATGGCTACCCACTCCAGTATTCTTGCCTGGAGAATTCCATGGACAGAAGAGATCAATCCATGATGATTGAGGTCAAGATAATGATTACTTTTGAGGTCATCAGTGGCTGAGAAGGGGGATGAGGAGCTTCTTGTTGGGAGATGGAATAGATCTGGTTAAGGTTCACCTGTGTGTACACAAATGTAAATATCCATCAAGCTGTGTACTTGAGATTTGTGTACATTATTCAAGTTAGAGCCCATTAAACATAAGCAGTGCTCCTCATTATAAGATAGTTTTAAAATGCATAAAGGCATAGAAAACCATTGCTGACCTAGTGGACTATTTCAGTATTTTTTGCTTTTCTTTTCATTGAAGTATAGTTGTTTTACAATGTTTCAGGTGTATAGCAGATTGGTTCAATTATACATATATATGTATATGTATTCTTTCTCAGATTGTTTTCCATTATGGATTATTACGAGATATTACATGGAGTTCCCTGTGCTATACAGTAAACCCTTGTTGTTTACATATTTTATATATAGTAGAGTGTATCTGCTAATCCCAAGTTCCTAATGTAGCCCTCTTGCATCTTTCCCCTTCAGTAAAAATAAGTTTGTTTTCTATGACCTTGAATCAATTTTGTTTTATAAACAAATTCCTCTTGCTTTATAAATAAATTCATTTTCTAAGATTCCACATATTAGTGATACCATCTATTTGTCTTTGTCTGATTTACTTCAGTTAATATGATAATCTTTATCATGCAAATGGCATTATTTCATTCTTTTTACAGCTGAGTAATGAGTGTTGTTTCAAGGCATAGTCTTTACAAATCGAGATTATAATCCACATACAATTTATATACCTTTATCTCACATTTTTAACATAAGCATTTTCCATGGAACTCTACAAACCCTTGAAAAATGTAATGTCCCTCCAGAGATACGAATTGAACTGGAGATACCCACAGATATAGGGTAAACAGTGGTGCCAATCTATAGAACATAGCACAGCCTATGTAAGGCAGGTGTAGATTTGCATGAAGGTTCAGGAAGATGATGATAAACTTAGGTTGGTGAGTGGAAATTAATCCTGGAAAGTCTTGATTCTGGAAGAACTGACCAACAGTTCAAAAGACTTGAAGCTTTCTAAGAGATGCTTGCAATATAACTAGATCTAGAACATAATGCATTGAGACAAAAATGAGGATCTTTACATCAGAACTTCCTTACTGCTGTGTCATGAGTGGGTTACCGTGGGCTGAGATGTTTATTTCCCAGTCCTTCTGGGTATCTGGGTAAGGGTTGAACCGTGGCTGGAGTCCTTGGGCCACAAACAGATTTCTCTTTCTACTCCAAGTAACAGTCTCTGTTTGTTGAAAGGTGAAAGTGATGAAGAAGCCCAGCCCACGTGACAAGCTGTGTCACCTATCAAACCCCTGCTCACAGCATGAGCTTGAACAAGTACCACTGAGTCAGCCCCTACCCCAAACAAAGGATGTAAGTTCTGTGGCTTCTGCTAGAAATGTACGGATCTCCAGGTGGGTAATAACAGCATAGTGAGAATTGCTTTTTCATCTTGATCTGTTCTGACAAGAACCTTTAGGGGGATGGTATGAATTTATAACCTAAAAGGCAGAGAGAGATGAATGGTTAGTCCAACATCACGTAATTAGGTAAGAGAGTGGGGGTCCAAACCTAGATTTTTCTGTTTGTGTTCTTTCTATTGATACTAATGGGTTTTAGTCCCCCTTTCCTGCTTTTCCAAACTGAGTTTTGCAGGACTATAACATACAAAGAAGATAAACATGGTGCTACTGTGGCTGAAAGGAAATGAGGGATCTTTCAGAATTTTTTTTAGCACAACCTTCTCGGCATCTCTGAGCCTGTGGCTCCCAGAACTCAAGGGACCAGTTTGAAAATGCTGCATTCCATCATGTTGTTTCATCAGGGTTATGTGTGGCAGTCCTTGATAACTGGAAAACAAAAAGCTATTTTTTTATATCATTAGTTTTCACTTTTCGAGTTTTTAATTTTGGTTCTTCTCTTGGTCAGTTGATCAATTGTAGTTTGTCTTTCCTCATGGGAAGATAGGGATTATATTTTCCTGGTACATATCTGATACCTTCTTTAGTAATTCCTATTATACAAAACAATAATTTGGTTGGGTACAAAAATTCATGCTCACCGACTTTCAACCTCACAACTCTCCAGATGCTGCTCCATGGTCATCTTTCATTGAGCGTTGGTGTATGGCTTGGGTTGCCATTTCCTTCTCCAGGAAATCTTCCTGACCCAGGGACTGAACATCCCTGGCATCTCCTGCACTGGCAGGCACATTCTTTACCACCGAAGCCACCTGGGAAGCATTACAAACAGATAATTTTAATGTTTATAGCTAATTGTTTTCAGCTCAGATTTTTATAGGGTTTTTCTTTATCCTTATAATTTAAAAAATATAGCTATAAGTCTAAATATGGTTGTTTATTCATGACTTTGCTTGTAATATAGTGACGCCCTTCAATATTTCTCTTTTCTCAGGTTCAAGAAATTTTCTATAATTCTGCATTCATTTATTTCTCCAGTTTCAAGAGGCTTAATTCAAGGATTTATTCAAGGATCTTTTGCTCTGAAAGACTGAGACTAAAAGTCAAACTCAGTATTTTTCTCATAAATGTCATCTTTGTAATATTTCCTTTCCTGTATCCCAGAGAAGGTATCAGTTATGTCCTCCCCACTATTCACCCATTTTTTTGTGGTTTTAAACCTGGTCTTTACTAGTTTCCGTGCATATTTCTATTTTGAGCATTTTTTCTTGCAATTGTCCTTAACTGTATTCATTTTTATCTTGTTCTAATTTCTTGTCATCTCAGTTTGAGTTTCTTTCCCTTTCTTCCTTCCTTCCTCTCTCAACCTCCTTCCTTTCTCTCCTTCCTTCCTTTCTTTCTTCTCTCATGATTTTTTTTTTTGTTCTTATTACATGACCCTGTCTTTAAACGTATTCTTGACAGTAAAATCCATTAAGTTTCTCTGACTACTCATTTGTAAATATTTTATTATCTTTGTCTATTCGGACATCAGAACTGTAGAGTATTGGGTAAAAAAGAGCGAAAGATGGGTCTTTGTTAGGCAGAATTAGGTAAACAGAATAGAGAACTATGATACAGCCACGGGGAAGTATTTAGTGCATATTGAATACACAGAGATGCTCAATAAATGGTAGCTATTCATATTCTTGATCTTTCATATTATTTTTCATATGCAATCTTGTTTGGCAACTTACTGTTCCTGATTTATAAATGTGGCTTAGAGAGGTTCATTGATTTTTCCCTTTTTCATGATGGTAGTTGACGTTAGGGTTAACTCTCCCACCTTTCAGTAATGTAAAGAGGTCCTCTGAGTCCTGCGAATTGTCTGGAGATGAGGTAGTTTAATACCCTCATTTTCCAGATAAAGAAGCAAGCCTAGAGAGAAAGAGGGTTATTAAGGTTTTATAACTAATTACTCATAGCATCCAGACCAGAACTCACTGCCCCATACACAAACTTTTATTTCCTGCTTGCAGGAAATGATCATATACTACGTGGCTCTCCTATTCCTACGCCATCGCCCTGTGCTGGGTTGACGCGGTTTCTGTCTGCACAGCCTCCCTGCATTTGGGGGCCCTTCTCTCCTCTTCTGTGTGGGTCTGGTGAGACTGAGTCCTCGCAGCTGCCCATCTGGCTGCACACGCAGCGTGCGTAAGGTAGCTTGCAATAAAACTTTTTTCCCTTTGTTTGCAATGATTTAAGTTAACGGGGAAGGGTTGAATTAGTAATATTTTTAATTACGATAATTATGTGTGTAGAGTGAAGACGTGAAGTGTGTCTTTACTAGACAGTGTTGGATGAACAGAGCTGTGAAATGAAAAATAGCAAGAATGGCATCTGGCTCCGTATCTGCCCTTCTCCACTCCCTAAGTGGTTTCCGCTCAGGTCAGCAAAGGTGAGGGCAACAGTGTATATACCGTAGACTCTAAGTGGTGAGGTTATTATGGCTGGGAGCTGTGAGGGTTCTAAGCAAAATGTCCTTTCTTCTTTTACATTCTTCCTAGCTTATATTATGCTCATGTTGTGCGTGCTAAGTCATTTCAGTCTCGTCTGTGTCCGACTCTTTGCCACCCCATGGACTGTAGCCCGCCAGGCTCCTCTGTCCATGGGATTCTCCAGGAAAGAATATTGGAGCAGGTGGCCATGCCCTCCTCCAGCAGATCATCCCGACCCAGGGATCAAACCTGCGTCTCTTGTGTCTCCAGCACCACCTGGCCCTGTGCTTTGATTATAAGCATCCATATTTGGAGAGTGGCACTGGCTAGGGTAGAAGGATTAAATGTGTTAATGATTGAAACACTTAGAACCGTGTCTTGCATTACAAAGTGCTTTAAAACAGGCCTTGCTATAAACCCGAAAAAAAGTGAAAGTCACTCAGTGGTGTCCGACTCTGCGACCCCGTGGAATATACAGTCCATGGAATCCTCCAGGCCAGAATACTGGAGTGGGCAGCCTTTCCCTTCTCCAGGGGATCTTCCCAACGCAGGGATGGAACCCAGGTTTCCTGCATCGCAGGCAGATTCTTTACCAGCTGAGCCACAAGGGAAGCCCATAAACCTGAAAGTAATACAATGTTGAGAAGATTAGGGGGCCCAGACTGAAACTCAGGAATCCTGAGGTGGGACGCATTCTCATAACCCTCTGAAGAAAGTCACCTTGGGGGTGGGTTGGCTGGCAGCGGAATCACTTCCCAGGGGACAGAGTGCTCTCATGGCATGCCCTTTTGTGAGTAAAAATCATGCTTTGGGAGCTATAAACTTGTGGAAGTTTAGTCATTTGGACCCCTGGGGACAAAGGCTGCAAGTGCATGTGGGCTCCTGTGACATGTTCTGTGATCACCCCTGGCGATGAGGGCATGCAGGAGGCGGCGGAGGAGGGGAAATTATCAGCCTTCTCCTGCGCAGCACCGCTGCCCTCCTGCTGGGGAATGGGCGTCCTCAGAGGGCAAGAAGTCCCAAGTGGAGCTTCATCCCTGACTCAGAGCTCGCCTGGCCCTTGCTGTGATGCCTTAATTTGCCTGCTCAAGTGTGGGCACACTACCCACTCTGTGTCCCTTAATAGATGAAGTCTGAAGCCCCTGAAAAGTCCACTCTATCAGGGCAGTAAGAATACTCTGTATGATCTCATAATGGTGGTTATGTGTTGTTATGTGTTTGTGTGTATGTGTGAGTGAGTGTTAGTCGCTCGGTCATGTCCAACTCTTTGCGACCCCATGGACTGTAGCCCGCCAGGTTCTTCTGTCCATGGGATTCTCCAGGCTAGAATACTGGAGTGGGTAGCCATTCCCTTCTTCAGGGGATCTTCCCGACCCAGGGATCGAACCCAGGTCTCCTGCACTGCGGGCAGATTCTTTACCGCCTGAGCCAGCAGGGAAGACCGCCTGTTGTTATCCATCTCTCTAAACCAACAGGATGGACGAGGCTGAGCAGGGCCCCTAAGACAACCGTGGACTTTGGGTGACGATTGCTGTCAGCGTACGTCGTCAGTTGTAAGGAACGCACGTGGGTGGCTCGAGGTGGATCACGGGGAGGCTGTGCACGGGTTGGGGCAGCGGGCACGGGAAGCCCTTGCACTTTTCTCTTCATTCTGTAGCTAACCCAACTGCTCTGAATAAACAGACGTTTTTAAAAGTCCCCTCAACCTGGCTCAGAAGTCCATGCAGCGTGCCTCTCCCCGGCTCCCCTCTCCCTTCCCTGCTCCTCCTGTACTTGCCAGTCACGTGCTATGGGCTGAACTGTGTTACCTCCACCCCCAAACTCATATGTTGGGGTCATAACCCCCAGTACTTCTGAATGTGACTCTATTTGGAGATAGAGGCTGCAAAGAACAGATTAAGTTAAAATGAAGTTGGACTTCCCTGGGAGTCCAGTGGTTAAGAATTTGTGATTACAGTGCAGGGGGCAGGAGTTCAATTCCTGGTCAGGGAATTAAGATCCTAACATTCTGCGTGGCACAACCAGAAAAGAAAATAAAAGTTAAAATGAGGTCATTAGCACGGGTTCTAAAACCCACTGGTAAAGAATCCACCTGCCAAGACAGGAGGCGCGAGAGACATGGATTCGATCCCTGGGTTGGGAAGTTCCTCTGGAGAAGGGAATGGCAATCCACGCCAGTATTCTTGCCTGGAGAATTCCATGGACAGAGAAGCCTGGCGGGCTACAGTCCATGGGGTTGCAAAGAGTGAGACATGACTGGATGGATGAGCACACACAATCTAATAGAACTGGTGTCCTTATAAGAAAGGAAAATGAGGATGCAGACACGTACCTGCACAGAGGACACTCACCTGCAGAGGGGACACTCATCTGCACAGAGGAAAGACCACGTGAGGCCCAGGGGAAGGTGCCCACCTCCAAGCTAAGGAAAGAGGCCTCGGAGGAAACCAACCCTGAGGATGCCTTGATTTGGGGCTTTCAGCGTTCATGAAGCAGTGTATTTCTGTGGCTCAAAGCCACTGCATCCATAGAATCTTGTTATGGTAGCCTTGGCAGTTTAATCCACAATGTTTCCTGTCTCATCCCATCCATGCTCACCCAGGCCTTGGGGCAGCGGGCCCACTCCCAGGGCAGCCTGAACCGGGGCCACCGAGACCCCAAGGCTGACTGTTAGCTCTGCGGCTCCTCACTTGGGCCCTATACATTTCCAAGCTCCAGGCGACCAAGTTGTTATTTTTTTCACATTAGAAACGTCAAGCTGATCAAAGAAACAAACACTTTTAATGAAACATATGTGGGACACTTAGAAGGAGAAGATTTACAATGTGTCCGCTGTGAAACCAGAAGGCTTATGGAAAGTGTGAAGAAGGAGGAGAAAGATAACGGGCTAGGACGCCAGGGGAGACACGGCCTACATATTAAACAGAAGGGAAATCACTCCCGGCCATACACTCACAATTCATTTCCGTATCTAACATAAATCACTAGTGCGCACACGGGACACGTTCATCTCCCGGCTTTCAGCCCTGTCCACACCCATTGCCGTCATGTATGCTTTGATCTTGGGGAAGGAAATGAAACTCAGACTATAAAATTGTCAGAATTGCTTCAAAATCCACACTCCCCAAATCCCACTTCCCCCATTGAGAGATGAATCTTGAGAGCTAAGAATGATGTGAAGATGTTGGACTAGCTTTTTAAAAGCAGACAATGTCTTGATGCTCTTTTGAAACTTTGGTGAGTGTGTGCTCATTCATGTCTGGCTCTTTTGCAACCCCTTGGACTATAGCCTTCCAGGCTCCTCTGTCCATGGAATCTTCCAGGCAAGAATCCTGAAGTAGGTTGCCATTTCCTCCTCCAGGGTATCTTCCCAACCCAGAGGTCAAACCTATGTCTCCTGCATCTCATACCTTGGTAGATAGATTCTTTACCACTGTGCCATCTAGGAAGCCTTTGCAACTTTGGATCTTAAAGAAAATCCTGGCTAAAGATGGGATGGTGCTGATGCAAGGATGATGAAAAATTCCGCTTTGGATTGTTTGTTGTGTCACAGATATTGCACTTGGGATGATACTGTACTGCTTATAGCATGAAAGCTGGTTTTCTACATTTTGACT